CTCTCTCTCTCTCTCTCTCTCTCTCTCTCTCTCTCTCTCTCTCTCTCTCTCTCTTTCTCTCTTCCTCTCTTCCTCTCTTCCTCCTCTTACTCCGGTTTTCCTTCTTTCTCTTTTTCTTGAGAGATACATACATATACCTAGAGCAAATGAATATTGAGAGAGAGAGAGGGAGAGAGAGATAAATAAAGAGAAAGTGCTATACACAGAGACTTGTGTGATCCATCGCTTGTTAGCGATAACTCTAACTTTCGCAGTTAAAAGTGCGGACACACGTGAGCTCGAACTGGACATCATCATTGCGCACTTGGCTCGACAAGGATTGTTTTTTTCCTTTTCTTTATCAATAATGTACAGACTTTCTCCGATAAAAAATGAGAATTTTATGTATAATATAATATACATAATATAATATTATATATACAGAGTGTCTCAGAATTGGTGTGACATCTCTCGTAGAAGGAGTAAAACTGAGTCGAAAACTCCTGAACCATTTTTTTCTATTATTTATAATAAAGGAGTAATTGTTGAGTAAATCAGGCCAATCAGCGCCGACCTTTAGCCAGGCGCACGTCAGTGAGCCACGCGCCTGGTGTGTGTGAGCGCTCCGCGCGATTCACGTGCGCCTGGCTAAAGATCGGCGCTGATTGGCCTGATTTACTCTATAATTACTCCTTTATTATAAATAATAGAAAAAAATGCTTCAGGACTTTTCGACTCAGTTTTATTCCTTCTACACGGAAAAAAAAGATTTGCTAGAATAGCAAGAAATTAGTTATTATATGGCCAGCAAAAAAACATTTGTTAAGTTTACTAAAATTTTTGTTTCGCCAACAAAACATTTTGTTGATGAAACAAAATATTTCGTAGAGTCAACAATTTTTTTTGCTAACCATATAATAGCAAAACTTTTTTTTCCGTGTACCTGCCTACGAGAGATGTCACACCAATTCTGGGACATCCTATATATGTAATAAAATTATTTGCAAGAATAATTTTGTTAAATCGTTTTGCGTTCTGGGAAGAATTTGTTATAATATTTTTCTGCTTAGTTGTATACATAAAATTCTTATTTTATACATATAGACTGCACGACAAATAAAACAAACTATTTGTCGATATTTGTCTTTCGCGAGTCTTCACACAGCGCAATTGTTGTTGCGCATCTTATAATTTTGACTTTACAGGTAAAAAAATAAACGTCGACAACGGCTAGACTCGGAGAATGTTGTGCGCGACGGTTTTCTCCTCGTAGTAGATAGAAAAAACACATCGTCCTTCGTATGCTATCCGTAGACACCCTGAAATTCAGTTACGCGTCAACCGACAGCGCGCGCTCTCCGTCTATCGATCGGTCGTGAATAATTTCGTGGTCGGTTCTTTACTATACCGTATTTCAGCTTTGCTGATTGCACACTACTGCTGCTGCTGTTGCTGCTGCTGCTGCTGCAGTTACAAGAATGGCCAATGATATTATTCGTTTTCTCATTAGCGTCGAAGGGAAAAAAAATATACTGGTCGAAAGTACAGCGTGTTTCTTATTCATTCACATTTCGTTCGTTTGACCGAACAACTTGGGTATAAATTTGTAATCACGCTTGACAACGGCAGTAATAAATGGAAGGTTTTGTTCGCGAATTTTTTAGAAGATGCGTGTGTCTTTTAACATACAATGAATATCGACAATATTTACATAAAAATATTTTTAGATACTAGATGAAAGTTTTGTTAAGACTTTTGTCAAACAGATGTCTTTTATTATTATTATTATTATTATTATTATTATTATTATTATTATTATTATTATTATTATTATTATTATTATTATTATTATTATTATTATAAGCAATAATGTGCACATGCACGTATCGAGTGATATCTCACGTTTTAAATGTTGAAGATCGGTGAAGATTCTCGAGTGCTTATTAAAATTTAACTCCAACTCTAATTGCTCTCTAAAAACATGCTAATAAAATGATAATATTGAAAGAGTAAATTCCTCGACAAACACCACGTATGTATCAATCCGTGTAGAAATTCGAAAAAAAGAGTGACATTGTTGCGCACGGCGGTATTCAATTCAACGAACGCACGTGAAATCGATCGAGTCAGATACGCGCGACGCGCATATTACATCGACGCACATATCCGAGACTATTACAACTATGATTACATCGGAGGGAGACATATCGCGCTACACAATGAAACGCGATAACTCGTTTCCCGATGGCGATGAATTATCGCGTAAATAGCGGCGTGCGCGCTCACGCGAATTTCGACGAGATGTCACGAGATTGCTGCGTTTCCGCAAGATCGACTTTTCTCGCAGCTTTGTCGCACCGTTGTCTTCAAGAGAATCAGATGGTTTTTTTCTCTGCCTCCGTAATCGGAAAAAGAACAGCGCGAATATTGTTCCTCATGTGTGACGCTTGATGCGTTTTTTTCAACATGCACGCGCGCTCGTAATTTTGATACACACACACACACACACACACATAGCGCGCACGCACGCACTCCCTCTCTCTCTCTCTCTCTCGCTCTCTAATAAATATCGAATTTGATAAATTTCGATGAATTGCTCGACCGATCCTTCGATTATCGGAACAATATTTCACAAAACGTTGATTCTATTACCCCCGACGTTTTATCCCGCAACTATTTCGGTTAAAAAGTTCATTTAGCACAATCGAAAGAATGGCTTGCGGATTAGTTAAATCACGAAAACCTCTCCCGATCGCGCTTTGATCGATTTTATTAAAAAACCTCGTCGCTAAGTGGCAAAACACGCGACTGCGAAATAAAGCGAGAAGCGAATTTGCTTAAATCAAATATACGAAAAGTCACTATATACAGAGATCGAAGTTAATTGACAAAAATTAATTATCCAGTTCGCGCGGATATTTAAAAATACATTTACTTTTAGTCAAAAAATATAAATTAAATTCGGCTCTATAATAAGAAATCAAATGTGTCCTGAATGTTTAATAAAATTAAATGATGGTCCTTTTTTTTAAGTTAAATGATCATCGCAAAATGTTCGAGTTAAAATCGCAAATATTTAGACGGTATTTTAATCTTTATGTTGTATGAGTCATTCAAGGTTTTTTGGATATGCGGATCGTGCGTTGCATGTTATCGCGCCACACACGGAAGAACAATAAGAAGAGAAATAAAACCGAAGTTTAGCGAAAAGCTTCTTGAGGTTCTGGACGTATGCCAAATAGTTCGCGAAATTGACCTTCGTTCACATTTCTGACGCGCGCGCAAATCTTTACGGCGCGCACATTCTGATTCTCATTGCACGAGAATTCTTCGAGGTCTCGCGGTGTTCCGAATCGAATTTGAGAAATATTTAAAAATATCTCTATATCGGTACAAGTACATGTACACGCGGGAAAGAAAAGTTTTCTTTATTAAAAAAAAAGACGCTCGCGGGTTTTTTTGTTAAGAAGAAGAGCTTTTTTCAAGAGCTTTCTTTGCGCAACGTGCGTGTGGACGCGTGAGAGCACGGCTTTTTCAGGCGATCATTATTAATTGCTTTTAATTGCGGAGATAATTAATACATGCGCTTGATAATAAAAACATTTAAAAAGGGGATACGATTTGAGCAATAATGGGTCGCGCGCGGATTCTGTGGATGAGACTTTTATTTGTGATGCGCCATAACGCATAAAGCTCACCCTCTTCCCCTTCCCTCATCTTCCCGGTTACTCTCAAAGAGACACTCTCTTCTTCGGCCTCCGCTTGGAATGAGTATTAATTGCTGTAATTGCAAAGATAATTGATATTCCGTTTCATTGGAAACGGACACTGGAGGACCTGGGAGCCTCGAGTCTTTTATATGGAAATTTTAACCTGATTTCTTTCGAAAAACTCGAAGCTTTTTGTAGCACTCTCTCTCTCTCTCTCTCTCTCTCTCTCTCTCTCTACGCGCGCAGCGCTATTACTTACAAATTTTTTTATGCTCTCGTCTTTGAACACGAATAAACGTTCACGGAAGGGAGGGAGGTTAAGTATCCAGAAAATTAGCGCCCACTTTGAAAATTACATCACGTTGAAAAATTTCGCGCTTTACTTCAAATTTTTTTTTTATGAACGGAAAAACGTTATGAAAATGAGATAAAATTGTCACAGATTTCGCAAATTCCGGTTAGGCAGCGAGTATATCGTTTCCATCAGGAAGGATGGGAATAATTTCGAATTCAAAGATCGCGCTTGCCGATCGCAAGTCGGAGTCCGTTAAATATCACCAAAATTAATTAACAAAGCTGTGAAACGCAAAATCGACAACGCGCGGCATATTTCGATTTTACACAGACGACGACGACGACGACGACAGAGCGGCGACGACGGCGGCGGCGGCAGGGGTGGCCGCGGCGAGAGAGGCGTACTTTAATTAACTCGCGGACATTAATTTCACTTAACTCGTGCCGGACGCACGTTCGCTGCTGGACTTCGTTTAAGGCACACCAGCCAGCCTGGCTATTGATACGCGCGTATCCGCGGCCGTACTTCACTTCGTGCCTCGGCAACATGCGGCCGCAAAACACGAAGGCGGTGCCCAACGAGCGGAGTTGAGCGCGCGCGTTATAGAACGGCGCATCAATTGTTGGAAATGCGGGACACTATCGCGACCAAGCATCGTGATTATTTCTTGACAGCCACTGTGCTACGCGCATGTAGCCGTACGTATGTGTGTTTCTGTCGCGCGTAAAACGCGTACATGTGTACATACTTACATACATATACCACACGTCAACGGCGGAGAGAAAAGCTTTTCGAAAGTGTGGCAAGAAAATCGAGCGCACAAAGCGCAATTTATGTGATTTACGAGTAAATATCGCGAATTTTGAAAAAAAAATGGTAAAACATGCACACGAAATTAAATTACTTATATAATTTAATATAGATACTATATTGAGAGAGAATTTATCTCGTTTGTACGTGTGTATTAAAAAATTATTTTCTTAAGTAAAATATAAAGTAGTAATAATTTCTGACATGTTTGACATTTGGGTTGAACGGGCCGAGCGTTTTAGCCACATATGGTAAATGGACTACCACATTTTCTTCCCACGCGACGTTTCTTACTTAAAGTGGTTCGATCAATACCGCGACTCCGAGGTAAAACGTGTGTGTCTATTGCCAGAGTGTAACAATTATTACCGACCAATACTTTTACAGTCGAAATTGGCACACGAGTTTCCGCGAGAATATCATATTCACGTGTATATGTGTACGCATCGAATCTCTTCACATGCAAACCAAAAATAGAGATTTTTCTTCAGTTAATTAAATTAAGAAATAAAAAAACATAAAAAAAACCTAGTATTTATTTATCTAACATACATATTTTTTCAGAAACTTTCGCAAAGCAGATAAAAGAAACATACACACATCAATGTATTGTTGAGAAAAACATTCGCATAACAGAACGCAGTTTTTAGCGTTTAAACTCGATGATATGAAAATTTATATAAAAATAATCATGTGTGTCGTAATATAAATAACAGAGAGGTTAAACGTAACGTCGACTGTGTCTTCTCTTCGCAGGAGACTAAGAGACCGTCAAAGGAGATGCAGGTGACAATCGCGAGGCAGCTGGGCCTGGAACCGACGACGGTCGGAAATTTCTTCATGAACGCCCGGCGCCGCTCCATGGACAAGTGGAAGGACGAGGACCCGAAAACGGTGGTCGCGGTCGAAGAGGGACAATTATCGCCCACGATAGGTATCGGCCAGCGTCAGTCGAGCGACGTTTTGTGACACACGTCCGACCACGAGGAGTATCACGACGAGTCGCCTGACGAGGACCTGCCCTTCACGTAAGGGCGGCGTACTCCGGATCCTCGTGGACGTACCTTGCCGACGCGTTCGATTTTGTTCGAAAAAAGAAGAGAGGGAGCAAAGCGGCTTTTCGGGAGGAATTTTATGCTAGTCTTTGTGCTACTGATATTTGTATAATTATTGGATATTCGCGATGAATAATCTTTAGAATGTTAAATTATATTATTTATTTATTAAGTTTATGTATGAAAGGAAATTTAAATTCGAAATATTTCGGAAAATTCCAGAGAGATTTACAAAAAATATATGTAATATATAATATAATAATAATTTATATTATTTTATATTATATATTATACACATATTATGTATTGTAATAATATTTATATTATATAATATATGAAATAATATGATATAATATAATAATAATAATATTTATATTATATAATATATGAAATAATATGATATAATATAATAATAATAATATTTATATTATATAATATTATATTATATAATAAATATTTAAATATAAGTTTCATTCGAAACGTGCGGTTGGAAACACCAAAATTGTTATTTTTTTATTGTAAAGATCGAACGCGCATGCTGTTGATATGTCGTGCAGGAACGTCCTAAATTCGCTGAATGCGACCGATCATCAAATGATCTCTCACGCGATTCGGTATAGAGCTCTACGGATCACTGCGACTTCGCCTTTATTAATAGCGTAGGAGTGATTTTTTTCAACGTGTTCACGCGATCGGCATGATCGTTCTTTGTTGATTGAGATTTTGAGTCAATGCTCGAGAAGTCGGAAGGACCTGCGAGTCAATCACGTGCACGTAATTTAAGTAATAAAAAAAAACAAAAAGAACGACGATATATTTTATTTACTTTTTAACAAAAAAAGAGTTGCTTACATATTTTAACGTATAATCTAGTGGTAGCTAAGTTGTTTTTTGTAATTTTAGAAAAAAACGACTTGTGCGAATTTCGTTTTCGAGCACTCTGTAAACATTCGTGCCATAGTTTTATGATATTTAGCGTATAAGTTAATAAGTCAGACTTTCTTTGTGTCCCCGATTTTCATAGTTCAGTGTAACGCGTTTCCGAGAAGAACATTTTATTAGCCATTATATGATAGCCGAGCGGTTCCTTTTATTATTTTCTAGTCAAAATTCAGAATCACTTGTTCTGAATCAGTTATCGAAAGCGCTTTAAAGATAAGGTGAGTTTTGTTTTATTCGTTGCATTTTTACCAAAGTAACTTTAAGTCGATTACTCTTTGTTATCTTGATTTTTAAGAGCGAGCCGGTCGCTGCTTTGAGAATAAATTGTTTGCGGACTTGCTTGAGCGAACAATTTGATAATACGCTTGAAATTTAATACAACGCTTGTTCTTTCACTTTTTCATAATATCTCTCGCGGATGATTGTGAGATGAAATTCACAAAGCAGCAACTATTGTGTAACAAATTAATTAAGAGAACTGTATTGACTGGGTACACTGACTGAATTGTATTTTGTTCACCGAGTATAAAACAGGATGTGTATTTTAAAAATCGCACGTTTCCTCTTAAATTTCTTATTGATGTTGTATTCAAAATCGCTTTTTTTCTTGAACTGTTTTCTTAATATTATTTTAACAATTAAAATACACTTTAATACTTCAGTTTAAAATTTTAATAATAATTACTATAATTTGATACTTGCGTTTAGAGATAAAAAAATTTTTCGAGAAATTTAACAGGTGATACGAGCCAATGTGCCGGATGACCGAGTTGGGAAGACCATCGCATGGAAAGCGAGAGGTTTCAGGTTCGATTCTTCGTGTTTTTTCGCAATATAATTTCTAAATTAATTGAAAAGGGAAAATGGATATTCTCATATACATGATGCAAGTATAGCACCCTGTATGAACTAAAATTTCACTTCGAACAATCAAGTATAAATTTACACTCCTAAAAAAATATAAATATATATTCATATATAATTTATTTCGCACAACATCCAGCGCATTGGCTCGTCATCACTTGTTAAATTTCTCGATTAGTTTTAAACTACATGAACCTTAACTCTTAGTTAATTTGATAACAATTTTTATTTATTACAAATTGGAGAGTTAAGAGAAAGAGCGCGATTTTTTAAGCCTTGTAATATATGTAATTAAAATAGAGCGACTTTTACGAGTTAATTAGCGGTTGAGATTTTTTGATGATGATCGCACAATCAGCGATGTTGAACGCGTGACCGTCGTATCCTTGTTGGTCAGGTAAAATATGAACCAATTTTCAAAGTGGCTACGTGTGAGGATGCACGTACCAAGTGATATATATATATATATACACACTTATATATACATATGTACATGTATATATATGTATATATATACATGTATATATGTATATATAAGTATGTATGTATGTATGTATGTATGTATGTATGTATGTATGTATGTGTGTGTGTGTGTGCGTGCGTGTGTGTGTATGTATGTATGTATGTATGTATGTATAAACGTGTATATTAGTGAGTGGACGTGTTCTTTTGTGCAAACCAATGGTGGAAGAGAAGCGCGGGAAGAGAGAGGAAGAAGGAAGAGAACAATTTTTAAAACGTGGTTACACCACCATGTACGAAAGAGAGAGGGAGAGAGTGAGCGAGCGAGCGAGAGCGAGAAAGAGATAAAAGAAAGTGGGAGAGAAAGAGAGACTTTGCGAGCATTTGATAACATACTGCAATTGTGCTGTGCTATTGTACATATTAAAAAAAAAAGAAAAAAGAATATACACGTATACAAATAGACACACGTGAAACAGACACACATACACACACATTTTTATTACGTGAGCGACGGCGTTCGCTAAGCGGGCAAAATGGTGTGACGTTTGATTGCAGAGAAGTACATTCTAGCCGACTTGCGATTGCGTCTGTGGCTCTTGCGTAGTGAGAAAAATTCTTTTGAGCTTCTATATATGGTGTGTACGTACACACCATACGCGCGCGCGTGTATGTATACATGTATACATATTATACATATGCCCACAAACGCTGGTGCAACGTCGTGACGTGGCGAGCGAGATCAATTGTTTTTTTTTGTCATTTTCTTTATTCTGCAATCGCAAAAAAATTTAAAAGATTTCAAAATTTCTAAATACAAGGTTTCAACTTTTTCAGAGTTTGCTCAGCCATGAGAAAAAATTTACTGTATAAAATTGATAAAAAAAAGTGTTTGTAAATATGCTCGAATTACGGAAAAATATACAATGTGTGCATCGCGTTAAATCAAAATTGTTGAGATTTTTAGAAATGCAATCATTCGTCTCGTACTCAAATGCCCGTTTTCAATGTTCGTTTTTGACGACAATGTGTATCCCTGTGGCGTAAGTTACTTAATTTACTCTATTTTAGGATATAGTGCAGGCGTGTGTGCGTTTTGCAGTTTAGCAAGCAGTTTGTAATTGAGCGTGTAATTTATTGTGTAACATTTTGTAAAAGATATATCAAGAGCCCTTTAGTGTGTATACGGCAAACTTGAGGTATGTTATCGCTTTTGTGCAACAGCAACTAAAAAGAAAAAAACGAGTAATATCCCGAAAAAAGTTACGCATACGTACATGTTTCTCTTGACGTTGCACGTTGATTAGCATTGTGACGCTACGTGATTATTTATGCTTGATTTGACCTCCAAAAAAAAAGAAACGTCTCAAATAAACGTGGTGGTTGAAAGCGAGCATCAAGTTCTGAGTGTTTTGGAGACACGAGTGTGTTGTACTTCCATGCTGGATTTTCCCAAATAACGACTTGCGAAAAGGATTCTCGCATCCGCTTCGACGCGAGAAAAACAATAATTTCCCCGTAAGTGCGAAAGAGATGCAAAGTTCTTTTCGGCGCGAAGATTATATATAATAAAAATTTACACAGCACCAAGAGAGACGCAAGCGGCCTCCTCGGTCGTTGATTTGAGATCATATATAGTACAAAATAAACATATTATTGTAATAATGATTTAATTATACATATTATATATAATATATATATATATATATATATATATGTATAAATAAGAAAAAGGACGTCGCTGTTTTTTTTCGGAGTAAGAATATTCGGTACAATTCATAGTTAAATCATGAAAATGATGTGGCGCCTAAAGAGCGGATGCTGGCATTTTCATCGTTCACGATAACTGTCTCTTGTTATCGGATGTAATCTCCACGAAGTACACGATCAGATAAGAGATCGCCGAAAGACTTTCCTTTGCGATCAAGAAAGCGACGAAATAATAACATGCGTCTTTCAATGTTCCTTCATTATAGTTCCGAATTGTAAATTTTCGACAATGGTAATTAACGAGAATATTAGTACAAAATTATTTTGACATCCTGTAATTTGATTATTATTTTTACGATAAATATCTGAATATTTCAATATATTTAAAAAGTATTTAAATATTTTATATATATTAAAAATATTTAAATATTTTATGTATAATTTCGATACATTTTGTGACATATAAAGAAATTAATTTTTCCTATACAATTTCTTTATAATATTAATTCCGTTATAACTTTTATGATTTTTTTCCAACATGTACAATTATTAATTAAAACCCGTGGGATGTATTATTTGAAAATTGAGGAACTATATGACTTAACGATGAAGGCGACGTTCGAATCATCATATATACTATAAGACACGCAATATTGATACACACATATACATACACACATACATGCGGACGGATATAGAAAAATTGATGTATATGAAGAAAAATGTAAATACAATTTTAAAGACGCGAGAGAGAAGATTCATTATTATTATTACTATCTCGATAATAAAAAGATAATTATAAATTTTAATCGCGCGTGTTTTGTTATATAAGAAACGTAAGATGACATAAATTGCCATATAGCTGAAGAAAAAAAACAGGAAATACAATCATATACAATTTTAGAGAATAAAAGTGTGCATGCGTGAGAGAAAGAGAATGCAAAGAGAAAAAGAGAGAATACACTCGTATGTTTGCATAAATACATACATACATATATATGTATATGTTATATATATGTATATATAAATTACGATATATACAATATATATAGAAACATGAATAATACACACGCAAATATATAATGACTATAAATACAAATATAAATAACAATATAAATGCAAATATAAATATATATATATATATATATATATAAAATTATGGAAATAAGTATATATATAAATAAAAGTATATATATTATATATACATATTATTTATAAATATGGATATATATTATTAA